TACATGTATTAGGTATATATATAAACCTTCCTCTAGAATCACTCGATCTATTAAATAAAACCGCGTCAAAATACGTTGCATAGTTTTATACTATGTAATAATGATGATAATGATTATTAAATATTAAGATTACTAAATATTTTATCTCCATACCTCTTTATATTTGGTACAAGCAAGTGTATAGTGTGTAAGCTGCCTTATTATTCTTGCATCGGTGCTCAGCAAGCGAGCGTTACAGTAATTAGGCAAATTGTATAAACGGCACATTGGACCATTATTTAGTAGCTCGCTGCCGGTTTAGACTTTAATTGCAATCAGATTAGATGTCTAATTTGATTTGGTGCAACCAACATTCCATATTTATGTAATACTAACAAAATATGCTTTTGTATTTAAATTACAACGCCGGTAATATTAGATTTGAATGTGTTTCTATATATAAAATTTGAAGGTTATGTAGGAAATTGGTTTGTTTGCTGTAGTTGTAACCGCGGCTTTACCTGCTTAAATTATGATAAGTGTGCAGAAAAAAGATTTGTCTAATAAAAATTATATACGACGTTAAGTGATTTAAAAACTCTTTCTTACATATACTCGTATTTATACACTAACTGCAAGTAACTGCATTATATTTTTAAATACATTAGAGTATGTTGCAATAATTACATCACGAATAATTTTACTTAGTAACCTTAACACTTCATTGCCATATATTCTCACAAAGTGGAAGATTTTAAATCGTACAATCGACAACCGTCATACCTACAAAATATTTATTATTGTTACAGACTATTTTAATATAAAACTATTTCGCCTAAAATCAAATATAACATGAACATACCTATACATATTATATGAAAAAGTTAAGTAAAATATTACATTTAAGTATATTAAAAAGTTCAACCTTAATTAATTATTATAGCATTATGCAAACAAATTAAGTTCCTATTTAGTATAATGAATGGATAATAAAAATGCCGTTAATTAAGTATATATAGAAGAATCTCAGTTGTGGGTGTTTAATAGCCAATTGTTGAATTAATGAATTCACACCATTGACAAGTGCTGAAATGTTCCGTTTTACTTGTATTTTAATTATAGTAACTTAGTTAATTTGCAAATTCTTATAGTAGTTTCCATTCACTAGAATATTTGTTATTCATTATATAAAACTTTTTGCCTGCTGTCTATAAAAAATAAATTCATATAACTATAGCTCGTTTCAATATAAGAATATCTTTAAGTAAAAAGTAAAATTCAGATAACAAGATAATGTAACAAACGAACAGACATGATTTTTTGTTTATTATAACACTGACTCTAAATTCCAATAAAACAAGGACGATATTCCTAAATGCTAAATATCATGCTGGTGTATAGGTAGATATAAGAATATTTATATGCTCAATAATAAACTTAAAATTGATCTTCTATTCTTTTCAGTACACCACTTATTTTAAATACATTTCCTACGCCCAATATGTTCTTTTAAAATTTATGTTTATTAATAAATAACGAATATTAGGTTCCTATATATATTGTATGTATATATATATATATATATATTTGAGTAGTATATCTAAACAATCGAAGACGTAAAACGGATTTCTGCTAACCTTATCTTGCAAGGTTAAACTACAACAAAGTTATTATTGTTTAATTAAATGACTAATTTGCAATAATAATTAATTACCATAAATATCAGGATCGCGTGTTTAATTCATTTCTATTTATCCTAGTTTAAAAATTATGTATATAAATAGTGTTGGTTAAACAAGTATCAAGATCGTTCTCCCAAAAAAATACAACATAATTATGAAATTTATCTTTGTGTCAGATCACCAGAAGTCAATAAGAAAAATAAATAAATATTTAATAAATAAGTGAGTTTTAAAATTATTTCAAGAGTAGGTATATACATACCATACTTTTTTTTAATTTCATAATTTAGTTCATAATAATTAATACCTACTGGACAATTATACTGGATGAAATGTTATTAATAATATAAACAAATAATAATATTCAAAATCAATACACATTAATAATATTAATTTATATTAGTAATTTGTATCTAAATGTATATAAATAGGTAGTAAATAGGTATCTATTACGTTTGTGTCAATCATAATTAAATAATGTGTATGACACACAATTTAATATCAAAGGTTGTTACAAGCGTATCAGAAGTATAAATTATAATTTATCGATTGCATAATAAAGAATTAACTTCTAGTAATATACACCTTTTAGTATCAAGGTCTTTCAATTCTCTATTTGTTAAACTTAGCTCGCGCTCACTCAAATTAATTACACTTGATATTATTATATGCCAACCTACAGTAACAAAAAAGTCAAGAGACCTATTACAAATAAAAATCAAGTCGAAATTGTACACAATATTTGTTCAGATTCAGAGTAATTTTCTTGCAAAGTAAAAAGCAGAAGCGTTGTCTATGTAAAAAAAGTTATCTACTGTTATTCAAATCAAATAAATTGGTCCTACTTGACAGTAGATGGCATATGTAAATAACAATCCGAGTCTTTGGATATTATTCTTAAACAGTTTACGCAAATGAAAATAGCGGGCACAGCTTGTAACCCAAATAAAATCATGTTTGGAAAGTAGCGTATGCGCCAATTTACGTTACGTTTCGTCGAATTTGTATGCACAGGTACATTATTGTACAATAATGACAATAATTTTCACGGTCGAGTAAGTGCAGTCGACAGTTGGTGGTATGAGCTAATTATAATAAATTAACGTTGCTGTACCCTAATGGGCTTCCAGTCATAATTACGCGGGAAATGCTAACTGGTTAAGGGACCCTTTCTTTAAATGACCAGTTGCACTATCTCTTTAAACATAATGCATACCATTAATACTAGATTTAAATACAAACTTGCAGTATCTAAGTATTGTTTAGGAAAAGTCAATGGATCTTTTATGGGAATGAGTATAAAATATTATAATAATATAAATACCAAAAGATCTTCTAGAATTACCTTTAAATAAATTTAAAACATCTGTTAAAACATATTTATTAAGGAAAGCCTATTTATCATTAAACGATTACTTAAATGACAAATGTGCATGGCAATAGTTGGTCATATTCGCGATTTTCATTTAATGTTAGACATAGACCATATAAGTACAGAACGTAAATAAATTAGAATTAATAAAATGAGTTAACTTTCTTGCCAGTTCTTCTCAATTGAATCTGTATGCTGAACTGTAAGGGAAAAAATATGAATTACAAAAACCTTGAGGTTCATAAGCGGCTAAAATGTGAAGGAATAAATAATTTATGAATTTGAAACATTTGGTGATTTTTAACCAAATTCAGAAAAGGAATATCCTATTTTAAATCACATTAAATTATGACGTATTTATAATAAAATCAATAACAAGATAAATCGGAATATATTTTCAAATTCATTTCTAGAATACACTCTTAAAATATTACTAAATAATAAATCATAATGAACTTAAATACTTACATACGAGTATTTTAGAACGATTGTGTATAAAAGTAAAATATGTAGCAAGTAGGCAAGTACTCATGGGTGGCAAACCACAACCGCGACCGCTCCTTCACTCGAGTGCACTAATTCCTCGCACATTATACGCATAATCCTGTCATCCTTTGTTTTAATATGTAAGTACATCAGCGTGAATCCGAAGATTCTTTGTTGTCACAGAAATCTAAAGCTATACATGGTTAACTAACTCTCATTATAAATAAAAAGTATCTCTAATTTCTATTATTGTATATTTAAATTTAGAATAAAATATTTTAATTATTATTCTTAGTTCTTTCTACCTATGCGTAGGTACTTACGTATCCATGCTAAGGGATGTAAACTGTCAAGTTTTAAACAAAATAAGGCACCGTTATATCTTGGTAGTAGTAATTATTAGTATTAATGGGGACTAGTGACCTCATTGCCAGCAGTGTAAGTAAATTCGACCCACAAGTAGCAACCATCATTTTATAATTGGTCACTGGTGAACAGCGTCTACACTTTAGTGATTCTAATAAAATATCAAATAAAAAATAGTAGTAATTATGTATAATACAATTGGTAACTCTACCACAATGAATAAAAGTATCTACAGTAAAAATGTAACTAAAATGGTGGTCATTTAAAACACTGAGTTTTTTTTGAGAAAGGTTACAGAGGTTTAGTGCTTAATATCGATTAATAAGCTGTTACAAAATCTCTTCGCACTAAGTAGCTTACAGTGTACTAAAATAAGTCGAGGCAAGTGATGTTGAAGGAAATGCGGGCCGGCGCGCCAACCGCAAGAAGCCCCACGGTACTCGCAGCTACAACCACGGCTTCTCAGGCTCGAGGACACGACACTTACATGATTTGATAAACTTAAACAGAAACTGTTTACAAATACGTACACTTGATGCTCTTATTATTAAATACTACCGGTTACCCGCGATTACGTCTACTTCTTTTGAGATAAAATGTCTATGTTCATATTCTCTATCTTTAGTGTTTAACTTTTAACCGTTTCTTCGTTATAAGGTAATAAATAGATACCTCTTCGGTTACATAACACTAACTATTAACCACGACTTCGTCGGCTTATTCGAGATAAAAGAATCGGTTCAAGTGTTACAACCTATCCTCACGTGAAATTTCATTATGATCCATACATCTCTTTTGGGAATTTTCATTAGGACATTTGTTTTGTCGTGTTGAGGTAATTATATTTATTTAGTTTGATTGATTCATAATCATATTTATATATTTTTTTATGATGTGATATCCATGGTATTATATCAAATAAAGGCGACTTTTGCCACTTACTGGCTTGTATGGCACTCCAATTACATAGAAAACACACATTAACAGTCAGCGACATGAGCTCTACTTTATTAAAAGAAGAAAAAATAGCTTTTTCGACAACAATAATACTATGTATGAGATGCGCAAAGCCAGAGACAGAGAATTGTTAGTAAAGTAGAGTATTCTGTTTACAGGTGTGAAAGATGATTCAGACGACGTGTCCAGTAAAAGCTGTGGCGGAGACTCATCAGGGCTCGCCAAAAAACAAAGGAAGGCTAGGACTGCCTTCACGGACCACCAACTGCAAACGCTCGAGAAATCGTTCGAAAGACAGAAGTACCTCAGTGTGCAGGACCGAATGGAGCTTGCTGCTAAATTAGGCCTTACTGATACCCAGGTCAAAACCTGGTACCAGAACAGAAGGTACGTAGTTATTTACTTATTTCATCTACAATTTATCGTAAATTAAGACATCGCCTACGTGATACATACACACACGGTCAATAAAATTAACCACAATATACCTTAATATTTCTACAAGAATAAGGTATGAGGTTATACAGGGAATTAACAACATTTTTATTGTGAAAAAATGCCGACCGGACACATACTATTAAATAAATTTCCTTGTTTAATGAAAGAAGTTACATCTCCTCATAGTGAAGCTTGTGAGAAGGAAGAAAATCTGAATATTTTGAAGGAATTTGTTGGTAGTGTATTTAAAAAAGACTATACCTACCTGTCATCAAAGCTCTGAAATTAAAAATGTTAGACATAAGTGTATTTCATGCAATATTTCCATAAGCAGCTTCGGATGCAATTAAGTCAGGTATCCTCTAGCTGATATAGTATTACTTTAAATTGATTGTTCTTTGCATTAATTTAATTTTATTGTTATTTAGTGTTATGTATTATATTTATGGGTATGATGGGATTATAATCGTCACATTTAGTGTACAAAAATCTCAAAATAAAGTTTACTAGTTGCCTCGGACTACAAACTAATACAAAAAGAGATATTTACGTACCTACATATATAATTAAATGAATAGGATTAGCTTCCATTATATTTGCATATAATACGGCTTACGCGACACTAAAATCAGTGCTCATATCGGTTGTGTCCAGTGGTAAAGAGTGCCCTGGATGGCTTCTTACTACGCCTCGTGGTAGAGAAATTAGGACCGATTTCATAAAATGAATAAATAAATAATATTAATATCTCAGGACAATTCACACAGCACCATCTAAGCAGGGCATGTGTGATTTTACTCTCAACGCACCTGCTTTTATAATAATTCAATATATGCGTTTTATTTCTAATATTATTTTCTTATTTTTAACTGTATATGAACTAATTTTAGTGTATGCAAAAATGTTAATAAAAACGTATGTCCAATAAATTTCTACTCTATTCCTTAGAATAGAAATATAGATAAATATTATTCGGGTCGAATATTACCTATTATTAAGCACCTAATCAAATATTTGAATGATATACATAGTGAAATCATTATGTTTTAAATCTCTATCTACCAACCTTTTATATTCCTCTTTTAATAATTAATTTAGGTGAAGATATACTTAAGACACTAGTATTACATTACAATATTATTGTCAAGATATTTATCATAAATTATAATCTACCTACATTATTACTGTATATATATTAATTAATAAAACTACAATCAAATTTCGTCGAAATTTTTAACGTTTCTTTTCATTAACTGATTAATTGACTATCCTGTCGGTAAAATATAATTAGAACATATTTTACGTCTACATATCATTTGTATAGTGTTTGTATTAATTACCGCACATTTTCCCTAATTCAATGTTTTGAGGCACGGACGGAATGTAGGCATTACTTACTTCCTTTGAATGCTTAATTAATCTATGTATATTTTTGTAACTGAAATTACAAACAAACCCACCTGATAGAATGTGATAACAATAGACAATGGACCACTAGTAGTTATGTGACGCCCTTAGTACCTACTCCTCATGCAACCCTAAGACGGTATCATACCTCTTTATGCTGTAATATCACTTTTAAAAGTCAAGCAAAAATTACAAGCTGCAAAAATAAATTAAATATGAACAGCTTTTATTCAAACTCTACCTAATTTAAACATTAAACAGTTGTTGTTATTAGAAGAATAGTATAGGTAGTATATAATTTAAAAAGAAAACATGTGTATTAAGTATTATATAAGTTTTATGTAGATAATTTAGAACTTCTTGGGTTAAAACCACTGAACTCTCCATTTATATGATTAATCATTGTTTACCTTTAGGTTAATACCCTACTGCACTGATTAATTTAACCTCGTTATCTTAATCTCTACCATCCATGTCAATGTAAGGTCGTAGGTTTGAGTCTCCAGTTATTAAACATAACATTTTTGACAGCCCACCATGTTACAGTTATTATTAAATTATATTTATATTATATTATAAAATACGTAGATGCAAAATTAAAAATACATAAATGTGACAACTGTAAAATGTAAGTAGAAAAACTCAATCGTTATTATATCAAATCACCTGCTTACGCTAATCGTTGCGTCGTGTAACTGAGGTATGTTAGATAATATCTTGAACTCGTGCATGTTAACTATCGTGTGACGCATTAATTAAAAATGGTAAAGTCAATATCATGTAACCTGAAACGGAACGTCAGAGGCCAGAGCCAAAGTAATCTATGTGACATTGACAAGTGAATGACGGATGATTGAACGGAGGCAGCGGGAGTTTTGGAGCGAAAGTGTTGATATTATTATAAAAACAAATAAGAGATAGGTAATTGTGAATATTGTAGGCATTGGGGGGTTTTTCTCCCTGACCAACCGGCATCATGCCTAAGTCGTCAGAATACTAGTGATTTTAAAAGTTCAGAAGCGGTACCAATCCCGCCTACAAATTCGACCGTAAGGTAATTCTGACTAGAAGTTGTGGTAAGTGAATTTACGTTAATAACACGCATACCATTAAACGCAGTATCTCACTTGTTTTATTGAACTTTTGGATGAATTGCTTTCTACATATTAAATAGATTTAGTATGTACGATAACTTGCGAGAGTAATGACATGTAGCACGATATTGAGGTATACAATATACCTAAGAAAGAAGTATTATGAATACATTAAGTATAAAACAACATGGGTATCTAATTAGTTAAAATACAGAGTAACTATTGTTATGTTATTAATGCCTATGATAGAGTATGATAGGATATCAACAGATTAGAAACAGTTACATTAACTATGTTGACATACAGGTTGAACATGAGAACACATACCATGTTATACATATAAACAGTGTAATGGTATTGCTGAGTTTGTTGTAATTCACAGTAAATTAGTCAAACTTACTGTTCAGTTTTGTGTGTTTGTTCTACGTGAATTGAATTGAAGAATTGTTATTATTTCTTTACATAGGTACACATATATGTTTGATGATCCCATTTCAGATAAATGACAATCACAGGCATAGTCCAGGTATATGTCTTGATTGTGGTTATATTCCCAAATTGAGATACTGTCATATATATATTATATTGGTTGATACTTTGATATGTGTTTATTAATGAATTAATAAAGCATATTAATATAGATAGACACAGTATATTGTTGACATAAACTGATACAAGCTACATAACATGTTATATTTCATAATATTACATATTAAAGACATTTTAGATGCTATCTCAGGATTAGCTGTGAAGCTCTCAGTGAAAATAGTACTTAACTCTGATAGTACAATTATTATATTTATTTCTTGCTGTGTTTTGAATTTTATAAATGTATATCTATATATGTATATATATAGCAATGGCTAACAATTGGTATTAAACTCCAATGTTAAAAACCGAATAACTGTAAACTATTATTATTAATAGTTCCTTATTTAATTATTAATTAGTATAAAATCCAATTGAGATCTATTAGGATCCTCGAGGTTATCATAATCATATGATATTGATTATTAATGTGTTGAAAAAGCACCTAGAGATGATATCCAATTCCTAAAAGGTGTCATATTATGCTGGAATTATATATTATATGTATGCTCATATTGAATGTATTATATGTTTGAGCAATTGGTTCACTTCTTTGATGCTTCTCTTGAAATTCATTAGAATGGCCCTTAGCAGCCATTGTTGAGCAATAAAGGTACTTAAAGGTCCTGTGCAGGTACCTGTAGCTATGTACATTTGTCATTTGAGACAATGTTTAGTAATGTTGGAATTTATAAGCACCCAATTAATATGTGACATGTTAGAAAGTGATAGATTACACCTGTAATCTATCTGTAATAAGACTATTCTTACATGGTTCAGTTTTGTAAACTATGAAGTTGTCTTTTAACCTAAAGAAAGGCTTTTAGTAAAGCCAGAAATGGATGTTGTTGGGTCTTGATTGTACAAAAGACCTGTTGACTTTAGTTTAGTTTTATAATTTATGAAGTTGTCTTTTAACCTAAAGAAAAGCTTTTGGTAAAGCCAGAAATGAATGTTGTTGGCTCTTGATTGTATTATTGATTGTACAAGAAACCTGTTGAATTTTCTAAACAATACTTGAGCAACAAGTTTGTCTTTAAATTTACTATTAGTGTTATGAATATGAATAAAAGTTTTTGGAAATAAGTTAATATTTGTGTACATACAGAATGTTTGGATATATATATTGAGTCACAACAGTGAGAGTATTTGCCTTTTGATGAGTTATAACTCTCCATACAGTAAATTGCACAAAATGTCATGATTTTATAATTTGAATCTGTATAACATAAGACAATTGTTAGCACAATAATGAAAATGGACTATTGTAATATATTGCAATGTATTGCTATATTGTCCAATCTTGTGTACTGCATAAGCTAATGAACTGAAGATTTGCTGCAAGGATCTGAGCTTAAGTTATCCATTGAGTCTTATTATTTAGTGTCATTTGTAGAATGACAGTACTAAGAAACTATAAAGTGGACAGATTCATTGTTAAATCTGTATTGGAATTGAAATGTGAACCAAGGAGGAAATCATAATTGTTTAAATTCTATATTTGTGAAGTACAGATAAAAAAAAAAAAATAGAATGTATAGAATATATTATTGAATATTAATATAAATAAATGTATATCAGAAGATGATAATAACTGATTTAAAGCATTCATGAGTTAATAATGAACTCATCTTGAAGTTAGCACATGGATTGTGTCAAACAGTGTGGTCTAGAATTGTGAAATTTGGATAATAAACTTTATAATTCAGATATTATGGCAGGAAAATGGAAATAAATGAGTGCATAGCACTCTTTTGTTGTATATAGGTATGGACAGATGGGAGAGAATTAAGTGAATACATGTAAACTGTGATATGGTGAAATAGAGGAGAAAGGAAAAATTGGATACTATTTTTAAAT